TGCATTGCCTTGCACTGCTGTTTAAAGAGGCTTTCAGAGCAGTTTTACAGGGGGAAAAATACAGTTGCATATTTTTACCTTTCCGAATATGTTTTTCCACAAGTGTGGCTTTGTTGAAATATTAAACGTGCCTCAGCATAGCAGTATATTTCTTTAGAGCTCAGAAATAAAGTCTTCATGCTTGAATTCTTAGATGCTAAGTATATGCAACCCTAGGGAGAAAAAAAAGATGCAGTAAAAGGGACAGCTTGTTGAAATACTGAGATTCAAACCAACCATTATCTTGTATTGATTTTTCCTGCTACAGCAAACACTCAACCACCCTGTTGAACAGAGATTATACTTGCATATGATGTCTAAATCATTACATACATGTCCTTATCTTCTTAACACAAACCTCTTATAATCTACCTCTCGTAATGATTTTGTTGCATGCATTGATGTGCCCACCCCTTGCACACATAAATCTCAAAGCTTCATTTTAGTTGAAATCACGTTTTTCAATCTTCCATATCAAGAACAACATGCTCCCATTTGACATGTGCAGTTATACAAATAATAATAATAATCATTATAATTATAATAATTAATGTGGTTCATTGTCCTTACTGTTAAGACCAGGGCTTTCAAGTCAGAAAATTCTCCTGTTCCCAGGTTCGCAGTGCTGATTGCAGTGTGTGGAGGACTAGATGAAAGATGCATTCATTTTGCTGTTTAGCCTGATCTTTTTTTTTTGTTCAGCCACAGCGTTCTTGGTTCTTCGGCGTTGTTGCTTCTGCAGTCGAAGAAAAAACATCAGGAAAATCAGTTCCCCATAGAATTGTGCTTGCCTGGAGGCTCATAGGAGTTAGGCTTAGTATGTAAACATCTACACAGCATCTTCTTAATAGGACAAGCTCTAAGTATCCATTGAATCAGCAAGCGTTCTGCTCCCTCACCAGCCTTTCCGTGATGTGGAAAAAAAAGGAGGTGGGGGGAGGACGGAAGGTGGATGCAAACATTTCTGAGGAAAGCGGATTCACACTCTTGAAATGCCGCTTGGATTCACACTCTTGAAATGCCGCCTGCTGCAAAATGACTAACACAGCCAGGAATAGATTAATATAATGGACATTGCTTACACTGTAATGAGGGTTAGGAGCTGAAAAAGATGTGTGTGTATGGGGGGAGAATAGTCGTGTATTACTGGCTCCGGTCAGAAATTGCTGTGTTACAGCGAATAATTAAAAAAAGATATCTCTGTCGATAATGTTGCCTGTCACTGGGGAGATAACAGCATGAAAAAGGGATCAAATGCCCATTTATAAACTTTATTTTGAAAGAGTAAAGGGAAACAGTTTGAATTGTTAAGAGGCACCAATAATTATTTGTAGCTCAGGGTTGACATGAGGGGGGTCTTTGCTGCTCTCTGAGCTTGCTTATTTTCTTACAGATGTTTTATTCCTTAAGTAGGTATCATCATCAGGGCTAGGATTGAATGCTGTTTGCTGTCAGTTTATATTCTGGTAACTTGCCTGTGTGGGTGGGTTGGTGGGGGCGGTCTTAAGAGATTGTTCAGTTGGACTGTTTACTGATGGTTCTTTGACAGTTAATGTTTGCTTGACTGTTTGTCTGATATTAATCTTAGAGTTAATCTATGCTGATCTGGGTGCTGATTACTGGTAGAGAGGTGCTGGAGTCTTTTTGTTCCTTTTGGGGCTGGTCTCTTTTGCATTGTCTGTAGATGTTACTAATGTCTATGTGTCTGTTGATGGCTGATTTGTCAGAGTGCCAGGCTTCCCTTAAGATGTAGGACAGTTCTCGAGCAAATATCCTGCAAGCTACCAGGAACCTCTTGAGTTTCATCATTAAGGAGTCCGCGGAACCTAGAGGTGTGAATTCATAGTCTTATCTTTTTTTCTCCTGCATGCCTTCCTAAATTCTCTGTGACTAGCAACCTTTCATCAGCTTGATAGCTTAAAGGGGACAGGCTTTTTTTTAATGAAAAGCTAAAAATGGAAAATAACGCAGGAAATTTAGAGAGAGACAATAATCAATGCATTTAAGGAGACACTTGATGGGGCACAGATCACATCCCTGGACCTTTGCCAGTCAGTAATACTGGACAGTGTTCACCATTTCAGAAGTGGAAATGGGAACACTTTTATTAGTATTCCACTACTAATAGCCCCAAAAATAAATTGCAGAAGGTTTTCTTAGATCTTGAGGCACTGTTCTGTTAAGACAGAGTCACCTCTTGGTGACATGGGCGTGCAAACAAATTTAATAATTTAAATGAAATAAATAAACATTCTTGAAGTTTTATGTGTTGGCCATAAAACCAGTATAAGTACGAGGATCCATCATGAGGGGCTCCAAATAACATGCAGGACAAGAGAAATCCAAGCCAACTTGGTATGTTACTGCATCAATTAAGACGTACGCTCACTGCTTGTCACCTTAGCCTTTTATGCAATATTCAAGCACAGAAGAAGGAAAATGATTGGTCCAAACTTGATACCTACATAGGTCACCTTGTCTATCTCATAATATAAGAGTGGGGTTCAATTATAATAAACTGTAAAAGCACTGGAGCTCTGTTTTTAGAGGCCCAGGTGGGGATGGAAGGACAGGTACGGACAGTTGAGACTGGGTGGTGGGGCAGGAGGGATGGAAGTCATCTGGTCATTAGCACTCTCTCTGAGAGCCACTGACCCCACCTGAGGGTTTATCTGTATCCTCAGGGTCACCTGAACCAGAGAGCAGTTGGTTGTGGAATCTTCTTGAAATTGCTGCAAGGGCTGTGTTGTAGACTGAAGATAAATGGGGTCTTATTCCTCCCCCTCCATTGAGGGAGGGTAGATGGATTATTTTGCCTCTCTCTCAGACCAATGGTCCTCTCTATCCACAATGTGGACTTTGCTGCATTCAAAAGGGTGGCCTGCGTCTTTTAAAGGCAGATGGACCGCTGAATCTTGTCCCGATGAGTGTGATCTCCTCTATTGTGTCATGTGTTTTTGTGAAGTAGTTGTTTTGTTTCACCAATGTACAGATCTGCACATGTCTCACTGCATTGTATTGCTCGGTTTTCATCTGGGGGTTGTATCCTTGGGGTAGACAAGCTTCTGCCTCAGTGTATTCTTGGGTTTAAAGTGTACCTGTATCTTCTGTTGGTCAAAAATCCCCCTGAGCTTTTCAGATATTCCTGCAACGCATGGAATGACAACGCTGCTACGTTTGTTGTTCTCTTCTTTGTCTGTAATGGAGGAGCAATTGCTGAGTCTTTTTTTTTTTTGGATTTGATGAAGGCCCAACTAGTTTTGTCTGACTCTAGTCGTTAATCCTAGGATTTCTCTGCTTACTATTTAGTTTCATAATCTCTTTTCTGCTCAACAACTACTACTAATAAGCCACTATGTGTGTGTGTGTGTGGGGGGGTGTTTTAAAAACAAAAATATTAATTCCTTTGCAGAAAGATGTGCTAGAAGACATAATTGTGTTTGAATAGTTAGTATCTTCCTGCTGTGTTGGACCTAAATATTCATCATTCCCAGCCAACATGGCCATGACTGGGATGATGGTTGAGTTTAAAGCCCATCCTTTAGGAAGGGTGTCAATCTTTCAAAAAATGCCAAAATGAGATGTGTTTCCTGCATCAATTCTTATGGATAAATTGATATTTAGATAATGGATAAAGAATTGAGCATTGCATTTTGAAAGCTTCATCCATACAAGTTGCCTGCCATAATTTTGCACTAAAGTGGAACAACCCAACAGCTAGCAGTATTGAAGGGGATGGTATTTCTCAGAGAATCAAACTTTTATTTAATCCAACAAAGTGCTAATTTCCTTCTTTCTTAACTATCAGAACTTTCAGTGATTGCATTAATGATGTGGTACAGAGTGGTTAGATTGCAGTACTGCAGGCTACTTCTGCTGACTGCCAGCTGCCAACATTGGCAGAGATTTGAACTCAAATCTCACCAGGCTCAAGGTTGACTCAGCCTTCCATCTTTCTGACCTGGGTAAAATGAGGACCCGGATTGTTGGGGGCAATAGGCTGACTCTGTAAACCGCTTAGAGAGGGCTGTAAAGCACTATGAAGCGGTATATAAGCCTAANAAGGGTCCATTTTCACAAAAAGCGGGCCATTTTAGGGAGGTCTGCAGAGTGCAAAAACTTTTTTTAAAAATGTGCCTCTTGGTGCGTCTTATACTCTAAAAAATACGGTAGTTACTTTTTATCTTAATTTTGCTTTTGACCACAGATACGTCCATTTGTGACATGGACACCCATGCCTATGTGTGTGAAATGGGGGAATAAGAAGGAAAAATCTATATTTTGGTTTCCTTTGAAAGAAGTTGGGAAGAATAAAGCTGCTTTTTTTTAAAGAAAGCCACAAAATTTTACTAGTTGGGTAAAACTCAGCCAATTATATGTATTAGATATGTCTGTAGATGCAAATTTTTTGTGCCCCACATGGTAATTAAATTCACAATTAGGATTATTCTGTATTGCAGTTTGTTGAGTCATCTAGTGTCATCTAATAGAGTAGTTTTCTTATCCTTGCTTCAGTGGGATTTTGTGGGTTTTATCTGTCCACTCCCATCAGATTGACCAGAATGTCATGCATAGTTGAGCACCTGACAGGTGACCACTTCTCAGCGGTTCCTGAACTAGGATTGTGTCATGTTCAGTAATTACCTTTGCAGCCATTGTGGGCTTGTCCTTCTTGATTTTTCCACTTGATTGCTCGTATATTTCCTTGCCAAGTTGTGTTTAGTGTAGCACCAGGAGCATCTGTACAACCAATTGGAAAGCTTTGTTATACATGTTTTGCATTTTGAAAAACAGATTTATGCATGGATTACTCTTCTAGTATTGCTGTTCCCAGGGTAACAAATAGTAGTTAGTTCCCATAACATATTATATCTGCCTTTACTTATTTTTAAGTATGTGACTATACTGCCCCTAGGAATCATTATTTTGTGAATCTTGTAAGTGGCAGCTTAAAACCATAAATAAATGAAATTAATTCTAGTTCGTCTCAGTGAAGCAAAAAAGACCACTTATGAAGATGCTATTTTTAAGCAGACTAAGGGCCATGAAAGTTTTTGCAGTAATAAAGGTGTTAGTGTTTAAGAGGCCATGAAGCTTTTGTTGTGGTTACTAAAGGATGTAATTACAGTTGCAACACAATTATAGTTGCAACACAAAAAGGAAGTTTTTGTGCAAATATGAGTGTGCTATTTTTAAAATTAAGTGTAGGCTTTGAAGCCTCTAAAATTATTTGGGTGAAGTCCCCAGAACCCCATCAAAGGTTACTACAAAATTGCATTTTTGTTATGCTTTAGCACAAAATAAATATCAAATTTAAATTGCTCAGGTCTCCCCTACATTTTGGAGTCCAATCTTTGGCACATCAGTCAAAGCTAGTACAGACTTTGATTTGGAATAAAAGTACATTTCTATTTTAAAATAAGATGCAAATTCTCATTATAGATTCAATCCACAAGGATTTGATGATATCTGCCCTTGGGGAAACTGCTTCAGGGCAGAACTAATATTATAAAAAACTAATTAGTTTCCAGGGGGTGTTCTTTGGAAGAAAAAAACAAAGGAACTCTAGTAGATGCAAGGACTACCTGTATATTTTCACACTTTTTATATCAGTCTCCTATAGAAGAACTCAAATTGTAAATTAATAATATACAGCAAATTTTCATTGATACTGTTCTTTGTAGGAAGTTTCAATTTAGGACATACAGAGTCAGCTCAGTGCCACATATACTTTTATTTTTGTCTTCCTAAATTATTTTACTTAATTTTCTTTTCTGGCTGAATTAAGGTACATGGGATCCTGAATTACATTTTATGTATGCATGCATGTACCATGTTTCCCCGAAAGTAAGACAGTCTTATTTTCTTCTGACACCTGAAATAGCAATATAGCAATAGCAGTTAGACTTATATACCGCTTCATAGGGCTTTCAGCCCTCTCTAAGTGGTTTACAGAGTCAGCATATTGCCCCCACAGTCTNACAAGCTCTCTGTCTTAGCCACTGAGTCACCTACGCCTAGGAGCCTGAAAATAGTAAACAAAAAGATATACAAGGGATAGGTAGCTGTTGGCAGCCTCTACCGAAAACTATGCAACTGTTACTATAAACGCCCAATGGTGAATGCACAGCAGTTGGCAAGCTTAATCTGCTTCCCGTTGCAGTTGCTCTGCGGGCCTGTATAAATCACTCAGTCTCTGCATACTTTTTGCTCAGCACCTTGTAATGTCACCAAGCAAAATTCCCAAGCGGAACAAATGGCATAACCAAAATATCCACCAGGTGAACTGAATCTGAACAAGTTCTCACAGGAGAAAACATGTTTCTTAAGAGCCATAAGCATCCACGTTTTCCTCATGTTTTTGTCTATTCTGTGCAAATGGTATCTCCTGCCCGTTCTATGACTCTACCATTGACATCATATCCCTCCTTGGGCCAGAAAAAATATGTTTTGTGGATATAAAATAAATAAAAGGTCTTGTAGTGGATTTGGCATGAGCTCTGTCCTCCCTCCCAACTCTGCTGCTCTGTGATAAAACAAACAAAGCAGAAAGCTTGCTCCAAAACAAATCAAACATCGAGATAATTTCATTAGGAAATATTGCTGAGAAACATTTACCGCAAGAAGGTCCTTAACAATAAAAGGGAATAAACTTACGGAACTTTGAAGTTCTCTTGTGCTGGCTTCCTGTTACAGCAGACCATGTTACACTGGATAATTACTCACTGCACAGACAATCAAAAGTGGATGTTGCAAAAGTAACTTCAGAAAGATGAGCAGAAACCCCATAATGGGTTATTTGATCTCCCCCATCATTGTCTTTTCCTTGGCTCTCCACAGATGTACACTAGATCTCAAATCTTTCAGCTACAGCAGGCATTCAAGTATTTCCAAAATGTTGGCCATTGAATGAAACAGAAACCAGTTCCTAGCGAGAACAAAACAGGTGAAAATAGCAAAGAATCTAGGAACTATTGGTTTTTATTTTCTTAATGGGGTTGTCTTTTGTTAAAGCATTTTGGGTCTTACTTTTTTTTTTTTAACATTCCAAATATAATTTAGATAGTGAACCTAAGTGTCAGCTTCCACCTCATGCTTGCACTTCCCAATCATTCAGTATCAGCTACCAGGAACTCAAGGGAGGCTGGATAGGTGGGAGGAGGCTTCAGGGGAAATGAAAAGTTAGCTGCATCTTTCCAAGAAGAGCATCAAGGTCAAGCAGCTGGTGGGAACGGAACACAGCTGCAAACCAAATCTAATGACTTTTCCAAAAATATTTTGTTTGAATTTGGTTGAACAATGGGGACAAGCAATGGGGAGAAACCTAGAAGGGGGGAAAGTTACATTTGGGGATTTCAGTTCTGGCTTTGTCTTATTGTGTTTCATTTGACCTCTGATAAACTATACTCTTTCTCAATAAAGGAGCTGAAGATCGTTCTTTCTTAGAGGCCCAAGTTGAGGCAGATCTGACACTAAGTGAGTTCTGTTTACTTGTTGACAAAAGCCACAGCTTTTCTCTGCATGAACCTCATTTCACTTTTCTTGATATCTCATCCATCTTTCTGTATTCTTACTACTGTTCATCCATCAAAACAAAGGCCAGATATTTTTCCTAAAACTTTTAAGATGTAACAATTCTAGATCTGATGAAGTTATGGTAATAGAAGCCGCCTGGTTGTTTGTGTGGTTATTCTTCCCAGATCTCTTTTTATGGGTTGGTTGGTGGGTGGAGGGATTGTTTTATACTTGTGGTTTCTTCTTTTCAGATGAAGATTATATCAGAAACTCTTCACTGCTTTTGTCCTTCAGTATATCTCCAGCACTCTGCTTACAGTATTCCGATATAAAAACTTTAAATCCACTGTAACAGTTTGCTGCACATGGACCACAACCACAATTGTATAGCAAGGCGGACATGCTAGAATAGGAAAAACAGAATTTAAGGCTACAGTAAATTAAGTAACAGAAGGCCACAAGCAACAGCTGTGAGTGTGCTGTTTAATTAATACTAATACACATTCTGGTAGAGAAAAAATTCCCCAAGGAAGGGCTCCAGCACGAGTCCGAAAGCTCAGAAAACTAAGCTCAGAAAACCTCTGGTCCTGGTGACCAACTCAGATTGGATCCTGCAACGTTATCCTGAGACACGTATACTTGCCTTCATCCGTTCCTTGTATGAGTTTGCCTCCAGAACTGTTATCAGCTTTGTTGCTCTTCTCTGCATTCTTTCTAAGGTCTAGAATGCTTCATGTGATCTTGAAACTATCCCTCTGTGGATGCAGTAGCTGTTTTGGCAGCTGCAGCAGACTGCTGGCTTATACTTAAGTGGTGGTCTATTAGGACACCTAGATCTCTCTCACAGTTGCTACTATTGAGCCATTCTATAGCTGTGCATTTGCTTTTTCATGCCTAGGTGTAGAACCTTACTTTTCTCACCACTGAATTACATTTTGTTGGATAGGGCTCAGTGTTCAAGTCAGTCAAGCTCCTTCTGAATGTTGAGTCTCCAATATCAAGTAGGGCAGGGGTGGGTTCCTCCCGGCATTACTACCGGTTTGGCGCACATGCACATTTTCACATTACTCTGCACACGTGCACATTTGCACCTAAAAAGGCCTGTGCATGCACACATTAAAAAAGGGGGGGAAATAACATATTTTCAATGAAGATTGTTCTGCGCATATGCAGAACAGAAAATCAAGATAGCGCCGCCGAGGATAGAACTGGTTCGGGCGCATGTCCAGCCGGGTTACTACCTACTCGGCCGGTCCGAACTGGTAGGAACCCACCTCTGAAGCAGGAGTGTCAAAGTCAATTTTATTGACAGCGGATGGGGTAGCGTGGCCAGCTCGACCTCACTCATGTCGGGGGTGCCTTTGGTGTCCCAAGAGCTCTGCCAGCGGAAATGAGCTCTCAAGCTCCATTTTCAGCTCCTGCAACCCTTTACCAGTGAAAACGGAGTTTGGGAAGACCGCCCGCAGCCCNTGCTATTGCTATTGCTACTAAGGAGAAAAAGTCCCATCTTATCCATGAAAGTCACTCTCTCCCAGCCCAACCCACCTTTCAGGGTTGTTGTTGTGTGGAAAAGATAGGTTTGCTGCCTTGAGTGATTTGTAAAAATAATAAAGGCGGGTTACAAATAAATATTTTTTTTAAAGAAAACATCAAAAGGTGAGTGGTGAAGCATGGATTTATGCAGAAAATCACAGGCTGCATCCACAGCTTCTTAGGATTTCAGATAAACAATACTGTTACATAATTTTTTTCAGGAGGACTTTGGAAAGCTTTTACTAATCAGGACAAACAGTACTGGATTAAATTAAAACAAATCTGAAAGTGCAATACAGAGGAAGTCCATATATTGATAATAACTTAATTGGGGGGGGAGAAATATCATAACTATATAATTATAGTTTCTTCATATGGTACATAATCAGTTTTGGACAGTATTATTACCATTATACATGCTAATAATCTAATCTGTAGATTGAGATTTATTTTTGTTTACACATATTTTAGAACATACAGACAGATGGCCCAGTTCAGAGTCAGTAAGGTTCTTTGTGTATTCTCTAAATAATATGGGACAATTATCATTTAGTGTAAAGTCTAAATTGGGATTAACAGTGAACAATTTTCCAAGTAGAATTTGGTTGAGAAACCAGTGTTACAAGCAACAATGCTTTCACTGTGCTATAATTAGTGAGCTGAATTAGTGAATTCTGGAGCAAATGAAAGTGCTTACAGTTTTTTTAAAAAGAATCATTGGCGTAAAGAAAATGGTTTGATATAAAAGATTTATAAGAATTGCCAAGTTCTTCAACAGAAGTGATGACCACCAATATAGTATACTTTTGCTTATTATTTAAATTTCCCTTTCTCATAAAAATTAAAATTGAAATTAGGCACCAAGACCTTTAGGAAGGTTAACCATTTAGCTGTCGGGAAGGATCCACACACATTTAATCACTCCCAATATAAATGATCATAAATTTTAAAACGTTTAATCTACCAGCATAGAGGAGTTCCTTATTTCAAAGAATTTTAAAAAAGAGGAATTTACAAACCAGCAGTACTTTTCAAAGATGTAGATTGTAGAAGGTAAAAATCCTTGTAATTTGGTTAAACATATTTCTTCTATTTAATTTACTTTTTCTAACTAAAAAACTTTCTAACTTTGAAAACACCTATACTCAGTGAAATGTTTTGCACTACAATTAAGTAGAGAATGATTGAACCTGAATATATACCAGTTTTGAATGCAATTCTCAGCCGTAAATTCCTCTGAGTTCAGTGGGGCTTTTATTGCCAAAGTAAATGACCGTACCGCAAAATTTCTAGTAATGTTACAGCTGGTTCAAATTTTAAAAGAATTCATTCTTAAAAATTCAGAAATCACACACTCACCCAGTATTGCAAAGACAAATGGTTTGGAGCCAAACTTAAGAAATGGGTAGAAATGTTCTTAAAATCCATTGCCCTTCAGGCAAGTTCAGACTTTAAGCCTGTCCATTTTGTAAGTGGTTTCAGTCACATGAAAGAAGTTAATTGTTAACCTGTAATGTGAGTATTTTGTGATGGATTTCCTTAACCACTTGTGTCCCTTGTTTGGGCATCCAAAAATAACAATTCAAATAATAATATTAAAACCTGATATATATATTTTTCTGGATTTTTTTTCTCCGCTCTCATTCTGATGACCTTTTAAGGAAGCAAACCAACTTTGGGAAAACAAGATGTGTAGATAGTACTGGGCTGTTGATTATAAATAGGCTTGCCTTTAGGCTTTGAGCAGCGAATAGGAGACATAGCGGTGCGGGGGGGGGGGGAATAATCTTGCATTCTTCTTTCTCTTTTAACTTTTTAGCTGCTAAAAGATTACTATAAGAGAATAATTATAAACATTTCCTGATTTGCCCATGTTATACCCTTATTTTGCAAGCTGCTCTGCCTCCTAGCAGATTTCCAAGTGCAATTGAAGGTAGTGGTTGTTCATCTATTATAGGGGTCCCCAGTCCATGCCAGGAAAGGGGTCGTGCAAACAAGCGAAGCTTCATCCGCGAGATACAGGCAGCAGATGAAACCATGCCCCCTCTGGTCCACAGAAAAATCTCTCTCCACGGAACCAATCCCTGGTGCCCAAAACATTGGGGGCCACTGATCTATAAAGCTCTTTGTGGCATGGGGTCAGATACTTGAAGAACTTTTTTTTAANCAGTCAGCTGAAGTGGCCTGCAGTGCTGCACCCTAACCACTGCACTTGGCCTTATTTTTGGGGAGGTCTTATTATTTTTTAGGTGCAGGAGGTGGCGAGCGTGGTTACCTCATGGCTGCTGCTGTGTTGTAATATTTTTGGGGAGGGCTTATTATCTGGGGAGGGCTTATTTTGGGGAAAACAGTGTTTGTCTGTGCGCATGCATGAGAGAGAGAGAGAGAGAGATCGAGATCTAGTTCTGTGATTTCTTCAGTCAGGGTAGTAAGCAAATCTTTGAGAATTTGAGAGACTGCAGATATGGGAGGATCTCCAAACTTTCCCAAACTCAGCTACAGAACCACACCTGAAAGAGGTTTTCCCATTCCAAAACAAATTGTATCGCTTACTTTATGCTTCTGAGTTGCAACTGGTCAGAACCTATCCAGTCCCAGTCTTCAACTTTTAGATATGTCAACATGATATTTGGGTGACAGATCACATGTTTTTCTCAAACCGCCAAATGTGGGTGAAACTCATTGTTGGCGAGAATGTAATATTTGCCAAGAAAAGTCTGGAACATATAATGGCATAGTTGATAGCTAGTATATCAATAACCAAATGGGTTGTATTTCACCTTCAAAGACTGGAAAACCTTCCTAGGACTGAGAGTCAGGCAGTAAGGTGGAGCCCAGGTGATTATGAACTGTATTGCCTTTTTATCTCTTCTGTCATTACAGGATTTCTTCTCGTGCTTTAATGTCATTTTAGTTACGCTTTTGTTTGTTATGAGCATGTAGAATAGCTTCGGTGAGATGGGTAGCCATACAAATTGAATTAAATGGATAAGTAAATAAGTAAAGCAAGCTGTTGGTGTCTTCTGATTTTTTTTTAAATTACATAATTTAAACCATTGGGATTGAAACCCTGTGAAATCTCTCTTTTTTATTTTGATTTGTTTTATTCCCCCACCTCTCCCTTAATTCGCAGGTTAAGGAAAAACCCTCCAATTCATGGTGTGTTGTGAATTTGTTATTTTCTAAATCCGAAAAACAGACTGAAAATAGATTTTGGGATTTGGTTAATGTTTTCCAATAGCTTCTCCTTAGCTTACCTCTATCAATATATTACTAAAACCACTCATTCCTGTAACATTTAAGTGGGCAAAACAATGCATCATAAGGCAACAATTTTGAATTAAAGTACCTCAAGTGGACTAACCTACAGAATGGATCCAAACTCTGGGATTCATGATCCCATGGAATTAAAATTTTGGCAAATTTTATTTCAAAAAATTACGACATTGAAAAGTATTAAAATGTATATGACATAATAAATACAAAAATGCCATAAAACATTTTTTTCTGCTGATTAACTGTGCAATATAGCAATAGCACTTAGACTTATATACCACTTTACAGCCCTCTCTAAGCGGTTTACAGAGTCAGCCTATTGCCCCCAACAATCTGGGTCCCCATTTTACCCACCTTGGTAGGATTTAAGGCTGAGTCAACCTTGAGCCTGATAAAACTTGAACTGCCAAATTGCAGGCGGCCGGCAGTCAGCAGAAGTAGCCTGCAGTACTATACTCTAACCACTGCGCCACTGCAGCTCTTATAGTTCAATATGGTCTATTTTTACAGCAGATGCATGTCTGAATGTATCCCAATTTTCCAATGAAGGCAGTACATTAGCAGTTCTGTCTTTGTTGAAGGCATTGAGAATCTGATCAAGAAATATTTCTGAAAGGGGAAGCCAAGGGATCATGGGTTGTCTGATATGCAGTCTTTGTGAACAATGTACAGAGACAATTAAGTGCAAGATAATTCTATAATTCTGCTTACCTGGTATATGATTCAGGGTGACCCAGTAATGCTCGTCTGGACTGTAGGTGTCTTTTGACCATTCAAGCAAATCTTTTGCACGTTCATCGGTCAGTGTGAACTCTACAAATTTTCTTGTGAGTACATAATACGCAGTCCCAAAATATATAGTCAAATTGTGGGGTGGTTCACTTTTCACATTATTAGTTGGATAGACATAGGATTTTCCTGAACGTACAAATTCTTGGTAACTGAAATTAGTTCTGTGTTTCATATGAGGTGGTTGAACAATTCCTGGGGTTATATTTTTACCATTCCATTTGCTTTTAATATAGTGTATAAGTTCCTTGTTTGTTTTAATGGGATAATCCTGACCACAGACATTAATAACATAATTCCATTGATTGTTTAAATGGATCAAGTCCTTCATGCAGTTGATATCCGCTTGCAGCCTGGAGAATCCAGCATAGACCACTTTTTCTCTCTTTGAAGCAATAAAAACGTTTTCGAAGCAGTCGACCAAGCTTTGGACCGCTTGCTTAAAATCCTTTGATGATTTTTCATCAATATGTATACAGTAAACGTTCTGAGGCATGTAAATGGCTCTGAGTAGTTTTATAAACATGTTCAGTTCCTTGTGAATGGTGACGATGTACGCCAAGGAAAAGTTCCTTTCTTCTTCCGACAGTGGCCTTGTAATGAAGTGGAGTTTCTTCTGCAGCGTAGAACAGTTGCACGGTGTTTGTATGCAGGTGGACATGTCTTTTTCCCCTAATGCCTCCTGGCACAGTTGGCCAATTTGAAAAGCAACTCTCTTCCCATCAAAAAGGGCCGAGCAAAGTTCATCTGGATAAAAGCCACACTCCCTTGAGATTATTTTTTCCTTGTCTGTCTTGAAGATTGTATTCCGTAGATAGAAAACACCAAAGATGAAAACACAAACCACGATGCAGACTAGAAACCATGATTTGAATGTTTCAAGTAGGTTCATCTTTAGCTTTCCAGATGTTTTCTGAAGCTCCAAATGTTCTCTGGAGTTTTCTTCTGGCCACAGTTCCCTGAAACTGTTCTACCTAGGAAAGGTTAGAAAAAAACAACAACAGCATTTTAATCATTTAATTTAAATGAAGTTCAGTCGATGCTTCATTCAATTTGAAAGGGGAAAAAAATACTTCACTGCTGCTAAAGTTTCATATTACAAATGCAGGTGTTCTTGAATACTGGCTTAACTATGCTTTAGCAATTAATCTGCTTTTACCTCTTGTGGTTTTGATTATGGAATCTTTCTCTCTTTCACTGACATGAATAGAGATAAGCTGTTCTTTCATACAACTAGCTGATAATCTTTTGGATTAGATAGAAACCTTCTTATGGATTTCAAAAATATATTTGAAGCATAACCAGAATTGGATCTAATGTGGGGTTTTTTTACTGTTGATTTTATGGGGAGGCGTCAGAAAAGGCTGAAGTGTTTACCATCATTGTTATAATGAAGTCTAAACCATAAATTATTTTGTTTTTCCTTGAATTGCCTGAATTAGCATTGTTTTCAAACACATTGTATAAAATAGAAAGGAAATGGTCTTGAATGCAGTTCTTATTTATTCTGCTTGGAAAAAATTGTGACCTTAGCAACACTGCATTGCCTTGCACTGCTGTTTAAAGAGGCTTTCAGAGCAGTTTTACAGGGGGAAAAATACAGTTGCATATTTTTACCTTTCCGAATATGTTTTNCCCTGAGATATTGGAACACTGCTATCATGTCTCCCCTAGTCCTTCTTTTCATTAAACTAGACATACCCAGTTCCTGCAACCGTTCTTCATATGTTAGTTGTGATTGTCTCATTAGGTTCTACTTACATGCTACAGGTAGCCTTCGACTTATGACCCCAAGTGGGACCAAGTGGAGCAGTCATTAAATGAGTTGTGCCCAATTTTACTACCTTTTTGCTATTGACATTAAGCAAATCGCCATGACCATTAAGTGAATCACATGGTCGTTCAGTGGTTCCAGCTTTTCCCAGAGACTTTGTTTGATGAATTACGTTTGCAATGTTTATTTTATGTGTAGAATTTTAATAAAATTTGAGGGGAGGGAAGAATATTGGCCCAACCCTATAGGTATTTCCTTTTAACTATACTTAATGAATGAAAATGGATAAAAAATTATGTGGCTCCGTCTGATGAATTAATTATGGCAGAGAAAGCAGACACCTGAATTACAGATCTGTGGTACAAGGTACCCATTTGAATCTAGCTTTGTTTTTTGGTTAATAAAATATTTGCAATATGAATAACATGTCTTTTACTTTCTGGTGCTTCTGTTTGGAACTGCACCGCATCGTAAACAGTGTCTCATTTTTTTTTCCTTATCCAAGTGTGGAATCCCCTTTCAAGATGATGATGTGATTGTCCTTAATGGCAGCAAAGAAGATGTAGAGATGCTAAAGAAAAGAATGGAGGAGCGAAGGCTGAAAAGTAAATTGGGGAAGGTAAGGTCTAAACACATTTTCTGAAGTTATATGCAGATACAGGGATCAAATAAGAACAGGGTTGGCATGGAGGTTTTTGGTTCTGGAGCAGTAGAGGTTACCTGGAACACTTCAGTTTTTATAATAACAAATGTCGTTCAAATAATTTCTGCTCCCCAATAACATTGCTGAGTCCTGTGGAACTCATAACAGAACACTAGAGAGTAATATAAATGGCTTCTCAATAGCTATTGAATAAGCAATTTTATGTGCCGAAAACATTGGCTTCCGTTCAAGACACTTGACATGATTCACTGGATTTCAGCCAATACAGGTTCATAACCTGTTAGATCCTTGACTACATTTTCTCCAATGTTTGGTCCATAAAGAATATAGCAGCTTTTGATTATCATAAAAAAAAAAAAATCTGACCTCTATTTAGAGACAGAACCTTCAGTAAGCTGTATGTTGCCAGCATCTGAATTTCCCCAAAAATGTGCGATAAGACAAAATGGTATGTGAAAAGTGGGGAGAGAAAGGGGAAAAAAAATATGGATGGAGTTAAGCTATGTCTATAGCCGCTCCATTCTTTTCAGAAGATCCCCTAACCCAACTCTGATTAGACCAGTTTTACCCTATGAGGTCATTCTGTTGTTTTCAGCTCATTCTATTACTGATCAAAAGAAGGACAAGTTTTACATTGATTTACAATATTAAATAAGGGACGTGGTGGCTCAGGGGCTAAGACACTGAGCTTGAAAGAAAGGTTGGTAGTTCGGCAGTTCAAATCCCTAGAGCCACGTAATGGAGTGAGCGCCCATTACTTGTCCCAGCTTCTGCCAACCTAGCAGTTTGAAAGCACGTAAAAAATAGGAATAGTAGAAAAAATAGGATCCACCTTTGGTGGGAAGGTAACAGCGTTCTGTGCACCTTCGGTGTTTAGTCATGCTGGCCACATGACCATGGAGATGTCTTCGGACAGCGCTGGCTCTTCGGCTTTGAAACGGAAATGAGCACCGTCCCCTAGAGTCAGGAACGACTAGCACATATGTGTGAGGGAAACCTTTACCTTTACAATATTAAATATGGAAGAACATTGAATTAATCTCTTGTTTTGTAACAATTTATAAAGTCTTGGATTATGCCGCCAAACACAACACCCTAGCCATATATGGATTATGTATATCTGTATGTAATATCCTGGTTTTGAAGCCTAAAAGTGTTGATGGAGGCATTGTTTAGCAATAGCAATAGCACCTTGACTTATATACCGCTTTATAGTGCTTCCCAGCCCTCTCTAAGCAGTTTACAGAGTAAGCCTATTGCCCCCAATAATTTGGGTCCTCATTTTACCCACCTTGGAAAGATGGAAGGCTGAGTCAACTTTCAGCCTGTTGAGATTCAATGTGCCAAATTTCAGGCAGTTTATTCACTATAATACTGACATACTCTCTACTACTGGTCTTTTCATGCATGCATCTTTAAAAGAAAACACTTCAGCACACTACCTATCTAAAGACCTGTATGTCGTTAGATAGACATTATGTTTCATTTTCCTATTCGTGTTTGAAGGCTGCATCAAGCAGAGGAAACAGAAAAATATGAATGTCATAATTTAAAGAAAAATACATCTTGAATTTTAGAAGAGCCTGGTGAGGCTAGTCTTAGATTTTGCAGTTGACCCCCTCCAGCAAATAATTGTTTTGTGTTATTTCAAAATACTAATGTGTTTAAAATCTTGACAGGTGCTTAGTGCTTAGTGATCACACTGAGTTCAATCAATAATAACTTTTAAGGTCAATTATCAGGAGTGAGAAAAGGGTTTTAATCAAAAGCCATCTGCTCTTAATTTTTTTCTCTAATGAAAAGGTCATATGCCATCTAGTGGATGGTAGATGATACAAACATACGGGTTATTCATATCTTAAAATTAAACTTGCTTGACATCTTTCTGTGTGTACTTTCGATGCCTTGCTATGGTACATTTGGTTTTGTTGGGTAGTTTTCTTCTTTTTTGAAAACTCCGACGACCTAAACCTCCTATAAGAGACAATTCTCTTTATTTCCAAAGTCAAATATAGCAACTGCCCTTCTTTGGCCGAGAAAATGAAGTCGACTGCATACCTTTCATGCTGGCTTTGCTCATTAGACCTATGAATGTCTTATTGCAGGGGTGCCAAACTCAATTTCATTGAGGGCCGCGTCAGGGTTGTGTTTGACCTTGGGAGGCCAGGGTGGGCGTGGCCATCTGAACGTCACTCATGTTGCAGGCGCCTGTGGTGGCCCGAGCGCTCTGCCAGCGAAAACAGGCTCCCAAGTTCCGTTTCCAGCGGCAACGGCCTCCTGCAATCTCTGCCAGTGAAAACAGAACTTGCACGCTGAGGGTGGAGTTCCGTTTTCTCTGGCAGAGGCGCTATGAGCTATTCCTTTGCTGTTTCTAGGGCAGCCCTGTGGGCCAGTTCTAAACCTTGAGTTTGGAACTCCTGCCTACTGGAATACCTGCCAGAAGTTCATATTGATGATACATCTGGATTCAGGGTACAAATTTTCTCTTAGGACAAGCATGTTTGCTTCATAATTTTTTTCCCAATACCCAATACTTGCCTTTCAATATTATAAAATAAAAATGGGCTTAGAAATATATAGCCTTGCTTTCAGCTGAGTAGATTGTGTAGTTTTGTAAGTTGAAAGCAAGGATGACTGAATGAATGAATGTGTAAAACGCCTCTAAGTCAAATATATTCCTAGTTATCATATGTATCTTTGGATTTTGCTGGTCTTTGAGCTTCTTAAATCGTTTCTGGTTTGTTTCTTTTGTTTCAGAAATCCAAGAAATCTAAGGCAGCAGAGACCATTGTGAAACCAGAAGCCGCTGAAGGTGAATTGTTTATGTTGGGTTCAAGTATTAATGCGGAAAAGAGATTAAAGATCTTATAAATCAAAATAAATAAAACTTATGTTTTTATTCTGTTATTTGCAAGGATTGTGAGCTCTTTTATTGCACGGATTGGAAACTATATATTGAGTGAGTCTGCAGAAACTTCATATTGAATTTGGCTTTTCAGAGTACATTGAATCATAAATTAACCAGAAGGTTATTACACATGGCTATGCCTAAGAAGTTCACGGCAAAGATTAACAAGTTGCACAAATATCTTTAGTAGTCTTTAAATAGTCTTTAGCTTTCCCATCTTTTCTGATTTATTAGTACTAAGTGCAATGTACTTGTTATATAACATGTTAGTTGAACCTCTAGTGATGAGATTGAAAAAAAAGTAGGTATAAATTTGTGCCATTAGAACTTAACACAAATGTCCTCATTCTGCAAAAAGAGGTAGGCAAACATTGGCTGTCCTCTTACTTTTTCCCTTCCTTTTCTTTCAAAATTCAGCCAATTATTCCTTCTCAAGAAAGAATAGCCTGATAGAGACTTGCCTTCCTGTGTCAGTCACAAAGTAATCTAATAGAAAGAAGAGTTTTAATAATAAAAATAATCCATGTTGCATCATTTAACCTTTTTTTACTATTATACAGATTCACAGAGTCCATCTCAAGTCAATACTGCAAAGGATGCTACACAAACTGGAGAAAAGAGAAGCATTGCCTTCTGCAAGAGTACAGGTTGGTGTAACATCTCCAAACCTAATTTATAAATGCTCCATTCAATAGGTACTACAGGTGAAGCTGTTGCAGCCAAGTGTCTTATTCACTTCCATAAACTGAAAGATCAGAGTACAGAATTAAGTTCCTTTCTTATTGAGGGTACTTTCCCTATTGCTGTTAATCATGGTTAAGTGTTGAGTTTTAAACCTACGGAAACTAATTAGGCTTCCATCTTAAGTAAAAATTGAAAGTTAAATATTTAACTGTGCTAAGTAGCTTGCTTGAACTTGGTTCTTGGCAGATTTAATTGAGCTGCTATGTTGTCTTTAAGTTAGCGATACCTGAAAGATTCCCTGTTGTGCCTCAGAGAACCAAACTTTTGGGATGTAAATATTTCTGTATTTACAAAATGCAGAATTCAAAAGTTGCCTTTTGAAAAGTACCATATTTTTGGAGTATAAGACGCACTGTAGTATAAGACACACCAAGGTTTTGAAGAGGCAAACTTTTTAAAAAGTATGTAGGTAGATAGAGGGATAGAGAGGGAGAGAAAGAGAGAGAAATACAGTAGGTGGGTAGGGAGGGAGAGAGAGTAATTAGGTAGGTAGGTAGATAAAGGGAGAGAGAGAAATAGAGATAGATATAGAAATACAGTAGGTAGGTAGGGAAAGAGAGAGAGAGTGTGTGTAGATAGATAGGTAGAGGGATAGAGAGAGAAAAATAGAAAGAGGGAGAGAGAAATAGAGTAGGTAGAGAGAGAGAGAGTAAATAGGTTGGTAGGTAGAGGGATAGAGAGAGAAATAGAGAGATACAGTAGATAGATAGGGAGAGAAAGAGAGTAGGTAGGTAAGTAGGGAGAGAGGGAGAGAGAGAGAGAGAGAGAGAGAGAGAGAGAGAGAAATACAGCAGGTAGGGAGACAGAGAGAATAGGTAGGTAAGTAGATATTTCCAGGTGTATTTATCCATTTGCTGGAGAAGGAAATCACTGACAATCTGCAGCATCTAAGACTTTGTTTCTGCTGGCATAGCACTTGATCAATGTAATTCTCATTAATCAGTTAAAGAGCTTTCTGAAAGGAAAAAAAAAGTTTTTGCACTCTGCAAACCTCCCAAAAACAGCCCGTTTTTCGTGAAAATGGGCCTGTTTTTTTTTTTAAAAAAAAGGCATGAATAGTTTTTGCTCATTTCTGCCTTCCCCACCCCGCCAGGAGCTCTCTGAAAGCCTCCATAAGGGTATGCAAGGCCATTTTGGTGAAGGGGCAGGGCTTCAGGAGGCTGTATTCAACGTATAAGATGCACCCAGATTTTCAGCCTTTTTTTTTTTTTGAGGAAAAAAGGTGTGTCTTATACTCCGAAAAATACAGTATATTGTATCCACATTTAGATAATTATACAGGTGATGATTATTGGGTATCTTTATCAACCTTTTGGATAAAAAGTTATTCTCTCCTTAACATAATAATATTTAGATACAAAAGTTAAAAAAATAGAAAAACTAATATTTTCAGCTAACCTAAAATTTGGGGTGTGACTATTTAGTAAGATATATATTGTTTACTTGTACGTACATGATACTTTATCAATGGAGAATTCATGCTCCCTATTTTCTTTCTCCTCTGTTCTATGTCAGTCAGTGAAAAAGCACCATCTTTCTCCGAGAAAAGCATCAAAGGTGCATCTGAACCTGTGAAGAGGTCCTCTGCAGCCAGTGGGGAGAAATCAGAAACATACAAGTCTATTTTTACTTCCCACAGCTCAGCCAAACGCTCTAAGGAAGAGTCTTCCAATTGGATCACACACACCGCATACTATTTCTGAAAGAGAAAATTGTATGATTTTGAGTGCCCTCCTGCTTTTTGCCACCTCTTGCTTTCTTTTTATAGGAGAAGCTTTTGTTATAGGAAATAGTGCTTTTTAAACAGCAAAGCAGCTTCAAAAAGAAGCCAACATAGTTTTAAAGAGGAGATATTAAAAACGGTAGCTGAACTTGACTTTAATTTTGAAAGGACACCTACTTTGAGTAAGTACTCATCATAACATGACTGCTTGATGTCCTTTTTGAAGTCGGGAACTGTGCTTGAAATAAGCACAAGTTCTGCTAGGTTCTACTTAATCTGAATCGTTAGGCTGCATCTGAGTGCATAGGCACAGTTTGTTATCTTGTAAGTATTTCCCATCCATTTATCTTAGTAGGAAATTTCGAAATTGTGAGTAGAAAGAGAGAGGCGAGGATTACATCATCCTATTCAGTTTTTGTCTAGATTTGTAACAGATGCCACTTGAGACATTTCCCCATCCTGTTGTCCAAATGTGAGATTAATTTAATAGGTCTTAGTCCTGAAGCAGATTCTTAAATGAAATATCCAAGAATGTTTCTGGAGGGATGAGTCACCATCACACTTTTGCACTCTTTATTCTACCTTGTTCATCTTTCGTGATATAACTCTTATTGATATAAGAGTTCTTATATTGTTGATTATTAAATTATAACCTTAATTCTGCAGTTTCTTCAAAAAAAATTGAGCTAACAGTGTTTTGTAACATTCTGACACCTTGTATGTTGAAATAAAACAATAATTGAATAATTCATCTTGCAGTCTAGTATGTGATTCAGATTTATGAAATTCAGCAAAACTTTTTTTAGATTTTGGATCAAAAGAATTGCAAAGAAAGACTTCTGAACTCTTTTGGAGGATAGAATTTGCAAAGTGCAGGATCCTAATTTATTAGAGGTTGGATGAGAAATATGAGACAGAATATTCCCTCATTGAACACAAAGTTCTTGATAAAAATATAAGCAATCTTGAGTAGAGATGACACATTCTGATGAAGGTATTTAATGTTACATTCCTCCGAATAAAAATTTTCCTCAGAATTCCCCAAGGCCTTAATGAAAATGCTCTACTTCCACAACCACCTGTCCAATACCTTTGACAAGTGAGAGTTGATACGGTAGGTATTTCATCATTGCTGCAATAGTGAGTATTCTCCAGAGCATTGGAATCTCTAGAGCAGGGGTGTCAAACTCACGTCGTCCCGTGACATATCACACATTTTTCCTCCTTTGCTAAAGTGGGCGTGGCCAATGTGTGACGCATCTGGCCCGCGGGCTGTGAGTTTGAGAGCCCTGCTCTAGAGGATTGTCCCATCCTCTCCCCTCCACCTGAGAAATTGGAACACCCAACGTAATTCCATGAAAAGGAAACATACATCATTAATTTTTAAGGCCTTTATTAGGGCAACCAAGAATGCACAAGTGAGTGTATAAACTTTCAAGATTTCTTCTAGAGAACTTGAGAACTTCCTGATAATTAAAACAATTAATCAATGGAACAACTTGCCTCCAGAAGTTGTGAATGCTGCAACACTGGATGTTTTTAAGAAGATGTTGGATATCGATTTGTCTGGAGTGGTGTAGGGTTTCCTGACTAAGCAGGGGGTTGGACTAGAAGACTTTCAAGGTCCCTTCCAACTCTGTTATTCTAATCTATTCTATTGCTTCACTGTATGCCATGGTATCATGATGAGATCATCTGATCATAAAGGGATCTCTAGATTAAAAGGCAGTAGTTATCCACTGCTCGTTTGCCAGCTCCTGGAAAAAGTCACATAGACATTTATATTTCTGCCTAATCAACATCTCCTTTTTAGGAGAGGTGCAAAGGACAACTGTTCAGCAGTGAAGGAAGCATTTGTTGACTGTTAGACCAGTGTTTCTCAACCTTGGCAACTTGAGGATGTCTGGACTTCAACTCCCAGAATTCCCCAGCCAGCGAATGCTGGCTGGGGAATTTTGGGAGTTGAAGTCCAGACATCCTCAAGTTGCCAAGGTTGAGAAACACTGTGTTAGACAGTGCTAAGAGTTGTAATTGTACTGTGGGTGGGGTGTCTTTGTGACTTCAGATATAGTTGGAGGAGAAATCTGCAGTTGAGAACTCAATGGTCAAGCAGGATCAGAGAGAGACATCTATAGAACATATCAACTAGTGGCAAAGAATACTTCATTTGGAAATGACAGGCCAGAGATCAGAAAGGAAAAGTTTTACAAAGCTGTTGAAATTCCTAACATCACAAGAGTATTTTATTTTACTCTTTTCCAATAAAAGTAGCTGAGTGAATGTATCAAAGAACATTCAGGTGAATCAGAATGGAGAAATTCACAATGCAAAACAACAACGCAACCTGTAAAAAATCCTGGAATATTAAAAGTAACACAATGCATTTGAAAAGAATTTTTAATAATAAACTATTCTCATACAGAGGAAGACTGAGAAAGTGTGCATAAAATTCCAATACTTTCCCCCCACCTTGATCTTGGATTAGCACTGCTCAATTTTTTGTCAGGAGGGAAGAACAGTTGAAATTTTGAGCTTTTCGAAAACTGATTCTGTTTAATTTGGCAGTATTTCTTCAGTTACTCCTCAATAGTGTTAAGTTTCCAGATGAATTAACTCATCACCTCTTTTTGCCAAAAAGACAAAGGAGGACATTATGTCCTGTGTCCACAATGCCTTCCAGCACAACATGGCCCTGCTAGCTGGGGATGATGAGACCTGAACTCCTATATATTTGAAGAGCACAAATACAGACAAAAACAGTACTGCCCCCTTGTGTTGGTTTCCAGGAAGAGCTTTTGAAAATTTGTGCAAGATTAATGCAAATCGGAATTTTGAACTGCCTAATGATGACTCTATATCGTTAAAAACTGGGGGGGGGGGGAATGTTACAAGTTCCAGGATTCTTAAAAGCATGTGGAACTATATGACATTTGAGATATCTCAAAGGTGCCTTCTTGAAAGACAGCTGGGCTTTCTTGAGATTTTTTTTCCTTGAAAACATTTCCCTTTCCATCCAAGAAACTCCAGTTGCCTTTTGAAAAGCATATTTGGATGACAGAATCTTCATAGACATTTGAGATTTTAACTAATAATGACTCTGCCTTAAGATGCTTTTTATGTTTCTTCCCTTAATATTAATGAAACTATCTGAGTATAAAAATCAGACAACTGTGTTTACTATTTGGCCAACATTCCTGCTATACAACTACCAGCTTCAGTAACTGCAATATTTTTCCCATTTTATACTCATAATTAGTCATATTTTTCACACTCGGTTTGTCATATCATTTGCATAATATTTTTTCTTCTTCTAAGTTATTAACCCATTAAAAAAAAAACAATTTTACGTCCTTGAGAATTTTCTCCCAGATCAAAACATTGTGAGGCTTTCTCATTCTGCTCTATTCTATTTATAAATGAGTGTTTGACCTTTTCCTCTTGTTCTTCTCTTCCTTTTTTTTCTTTTCAATTGTGAAGCGCAGAAGCTAATTCCTCATTACAGAAGGCAGAATATGACAGTCCGATTCACAGCATAGATATGTTTTGACAACATCTCCTTAGCTTTTCTCCAAAGAGGCAGTTAATCTTAGAGAAATAACGTAAATGTCTGTTTATATCTGACTTAGCTACCTTTTGGTTCATAGGAATATTCAGATATTGCTGGATCACAATTCTCAACAGCCCATCTGAATTGTGAGTGCTGATAGAAATTGCAGCTTAGCCAAAAATGTTCTATTTCTTAACAACAATACTTCATCACCCGTAAGCTGTGTTACAAAATCATGCTATGCATTGCTAAGCAGTGTTAATTTCAAAGTTAGGTTAATCCATAATTAATCAATTTTAAGGCAACTAAGTGGAATGCAGGATGAGTTTGCTTATAATCTCTTGCCCAACTATTGAAGCAGATGTCCAGAAAAGCTAAAAAGTCTATACTAAGAGCTATTTTTAAAAAAATCTTCCATTGTGGTTTCCACGACTGGTCAGTAAACTGCTCAGTTTTCACCTGGAAAATGCTAGGTACTCTCTCACAAATATTAGGCTGTTTACACAATGCAGCATACATCACATTACAATGCAAAACAGTAGTTGTCTCTACCTCATTTTGTGTGTGTATGTGTGCACGCTTTTCAGTCAACATTGATTATGGGTAGATTGCCTAGATCAGGGTGTGATCAAGTGGACCACGGCCCATTACTCATGCTAGAGTTGCCACCAGCATCGCACACTCACATCCCCATTTGCACAATGCTCACGCTTACGGCCCCTTTTGCATCACACGTGCGCTCGGGACCCTGTTTGCATCGTGTGCGCTCGTGGCCCTGCTTCAGAGGTGGGTTCCTACTGGTTCAGACCAGTTCAGCTGAACAGGTAGTAACTTGGCGGCCTGGGTCACTGGAACCGGCAGCGACCCAGGCCTGCCACGCCCCTGAACCAGTTCTCTCGGTGGTGTGTAGGCGCCACCATCTTGTTTTTGCATTCTGTGTTGCACTGCACATGCGCGTGTGGCACAGCCCTGAGTGAACCAGCAATAGCAGCAGGCAGAACCCACCCCTGCCCTGCTTGCATCATGCATGCAGCCCCATTCATGCATGCTCATGCATACATAAAGGCACCTGCCCCCCCCTCCCTCCCTCCGGGCCACCAACCCAGAAAGTCTGAGGAACTCTGGCCTAGATTAACCCCTGCAGGTTTTCGATAAGATTTTCCAAAGCGTATGGAAGTTGAGTCATGGCAACTGGACTTNAAATAGACAAAACAACACTTTAAAATACACAACATTCATAGTAACCGTGGGGCTGGCTATTTCAACAGTCCCCCGGCCTGCTGGAGCAGCCAGGACTTAATGGCTTTGCGGAAGGCCGGGAGAGTGGTAAGGGTCCGGATCTCCACGGGGAGGTCGTTCCAAAGGGCTGGAGCTGCAACAGAGAAGGCTCTCGCCCGGGGAGTGGCCAGCCGACATTGGCTGGCACATGGAATCCGGAGAAGACCTACCCTGTGAGATCTGATCGGTCTATGGGAGGTAATAACCATACTTTCTACCATTTTAATCCAAACATGACATTAATTGAGCTATAAATTCAGAGTTTTTATTAAACATATTGTCCTTCAAAGGATAACATGTTAAGAGCAGAAGGCTGCCCTGTAGAAATTAAGTGTATAATGATACTTGGTTATATTCTCTTTAACTTTTCAAATTCAAAATAATAATGTCAAAGCTGGAGGGGAAGGAAAAATGACCATGGGGATTAGATTATGCCTGATAGAGTTGTTAACATGAATTAAACATTGACATGAAGGTATACCTTGTTTGAAAAGCTAGGATTCAATTAAGAAGCAAAAGAGGATAAAAATGTTCTTAGGATGCAGTGGTCTTGATGTGGAAATAAATAAAAGGCCTATACATGCATTCTGGTTATGAGCTGCTAATTCTAATAGATATGAATCAGTGTTGCTATGTCTGTCGCTTGTAGTTGTATTCTGGTACGGAACTTTCCTTTTGTAAAATCTGGAATGCTAATCAGGTATGCTTTTGGGCTAGGATGGCAGAAAGAAAAGTTCTGTATAATTGGCTCTGTAAAATTCAGAAGATTTGCCAAAGATAAATCTCACTTATTGTGTACATCAAAAGAAGTTTGAAGGATACTTGCCATATCTGATTCATATGTAAGCATCAAATACTGTTTCAAATGACAGCAGGATTGAACAATTTCATGATCTTGGCTTGGTGGAAGAATTAAGGATTAAA